ATTTTTATGTTTCTTGATTACTGAATCTTTCAGGGGGCAATGCAAAGGTCAAACTAATATGTTGTAATTTTGGTGTCTGTATATTGTATCATTTTTCTGTTTATAGTATTATAACTAATGAAACATTTATTTTGTCTTGTTATGATTAAGTTGAATGAATATAAATGCTATAAACTAAAAATATATGCCACATAAAACTATATAATCTACAACTTGAAGAAAATCAATAAGATTTTGCTTCCAAAAAAGAAACACCAAATGGACACATGGTGCATTGGTCCTGTGTACATGACCAGGGCAACATGTGTATGAAATTTAACATTTATAACTTGGTGCATTTAGCAGTAATTCATGTATTAAGCCTGGACCTCCTAGGACTTCACTCATATTAATATCAAGTCACTACATTGACACCATTCATTTGAAAATCAAGTTACCATGAAATGTTAGAGCACGTAACTTATTTAATTCATCTAATTATTTTTAAGTTAAAGTTCCTCACCAGATATATCAGTTAGCATTTCTATTTCATCACTCTGTCCTTCTACACTTAGAAATCACCCATGAAGTGCACCCAGCCACTGAACCAATTGTGAATCCTAGAAAAATGCAAGAAGCCTTGATGTTACACTCAGTAATAGTGCTATAGTATTTGATGATAGAATTACTAATATTTCCTTAAATCCTTAACTTCTCAGACAAAATTTGTTTTGTGGACAAGATGGAGTCAAGGTGGCTGTGGTGCAGCAGAACAAGTTTAGAAAAGAAACCAGAAATTTCAGATAATCCTGCAGTGGAAAGGGAAACTAATGATGCCTATGGTCTAGTAGACAGGTTAAAAGAGGGAAAGAGAGTAAAAGAAGGGATAGATGAATGAGGGAAGGAAAGAAAGAGATAAAATGAGAGCAAAAAGAATGGAGGAGAGAAGGAGAGAGAGAAAATTTAGAGGTTAGTGCATGAATGGCTGAATGGATAAATGAGAGAGAGCAAATGATTGAATTAAATAAATTAGAAAGACACAGAGAGTGAAACAAACAAGAGAGAAATTTAAATTGGGGTGGGGATATACTTTTCTGACATCAAGGTTTCTTGTGCTTTTCAGGGAACTTGATTCTATTGCATTACAATGATGTTTTGGGGGCAAATGTAGTCAAAACTACTTATCACAGTAATTCTAACTGTTCACAAATTTCCCCACATGATAGCAGAGTAAAGTTTGACAAAATATTGGTATTGTTTTTCTAAATCTGGTCGTAAACTTTCAATAAACATTTCAGCATAGGTACTGAATTCCTTTTGCTGACACAATCTTGCATTTAAAGAGGGCTAATAATCCAAGAAACAAACAATATAATATACTTTATTAATGATGTGTTAAGAAATCCTTCCATGCTATATTTCACAAAATATAAATCATTCACTTAGATAGTACTGGCAAAACCCAGAGTGGTGCCACCCTTCAAATGCAATATAGATCAGATCCATATATCCTCCTTGTGCATTTTTTCAACAAACTAGTTATGATATTCAACATATGCTTACACTATTTTCTCATTAACATTCATCCAACTTAACACTCGCTAAAACTGCTTCATACGATTTTGGAGTGTTTTCTGGGTATCTTCAGTAATAGGTAATTTGAAGGGAATTCAGTGTTTGATCTACAGAAATGGCATGTTTCTCACTCAAATGAACAAGCAAGTAAAAAATATGTATCTATGAAGAAAGACGAAACAAATCATCACGTCTTCATCCGTTTTGACTTTGGCTCGTCAGTGAGGTCATCATCGCTGAAACAGTCATCACCGACTTCACTGAAGTATTTCAAGATACTTTCCTGTTCTGAGTCCTGAAGAAAGAAAATGGGAAATAGTTTTGGTCTCAAAACAAAGGAGGAAAATACAGGTTTATTATCAACATAAAGTTTTGTTGTC